CCGTTCCATCCACGACCGCAATGATGCCCAGGACTCCCGACTGGACAGTTTCGAGAGCCGTCATACCACTCAGTGGACCGGCTGAGAGACCCAACAAGCGGCACAGTGGACCGGCTGGGAAACCCAACAGAAGACCCAGTGGGATCATTGGAAAACCCAGCAGCAGACCCACTGGACTCAGATGGACACGCGTTTTGATGGGTTCAGTGATAGTCTCCGGTCGATCCGAGAGCGCCAGGATCAGCAGGATGCGAGATTGGATAGCTGGGATCAGCGGTTCACCCAATGGGGCCCGGGACCCAGTCAGCCCTATCCACCACCGCCACCACCGAACGCACAGTGACTTGTCACTGTGCTTAGTATGTTTTCTTTTCCCTTTTATCTTTTATTTTTGTACAGTTTGCTCTTTTCGTGTCAATTAACTATATGGTCTACTCTCTTTCACTACGAATCGACAATGGGGACATTGTCTGATTTTAAGTGTGGGGGAGTTTTACGTGCTTGCGTGACTATGTGGTAAACTTGTCTAGTTTTTCTTTTTAGGGTTGATTTTATTTCTTTGTCCTGTTGGTGGACCAGTCTAGTTGAGGTTTATGTGTTTTATGTGTTTTTTTTGAGTTGGACATTGGTGAATATCGAGACTGGTTTATGATTGGTTAATGACGTTGAGAAGTTGTGATAATGATCTTGAGTGGCATATTTTGATGTGTGGCTCGATTGCTTTGATTAACACGCATATTGGTAACACAAAACTCCTCGACCGGCTGGAACTTGAGTAATTGCCTTCCTTCTCGCCGGTTGAACGTCGTGTACCTGCAAAGAACTCTCACACCGGAGGGATTTTCCGGTGAAGAGCCTCCGATGCTTAAGTCAGTGTGTATTCAATCAATTCTCAAGAGTAATAGAATGATCGTGTTGAGGAAGAAAGGCTCACCCCCTTTATATAGGAGTGAAATACCTGACCTAGGACTGCCCGGATTTGATGAGCTGTCTGCCCTAACTGCCCGTCCGTACACACCAAACGCGTGTGTCAGGGGTAGCCGTCTCCACTATCTTTTGCGCCAATCCTCTTTGGACGCGTGTCCTCCTGCACATGGGGTATGTTGTCAGAGGTGGTTATCGCCATCCACCACTGCCTTCTCGACACGTGTCCCCTTCACATGGGGCAAATATTCTCCTGGAATTCTGTCAGAGGCTCTTCCCAC